TATCATTTCAATTTACTTGGGGGAGGTTGAGTTGGTCCACGACTTTTTTCAGGCAGTAGTTACCTTTCCTTGGCAAGGCTGTTACCAGGCTACAAATGTTCCCTTTTCTGGTAACCCTGACAAGACTTCAAGGAATTCAGAGCTTTAAGCCATCTGGATCCTCCTGAGATTTCATCACTCTTTCTCTCTGTGGGATTATGGAGCTGGAAAAGAGGCAGGAGAGAGCAGAACTCTTGAAGATACTCCATAGGAAAGCACTTAGGGCTGCAGTTTTTGTTCATCTCTTCAGCGTGAAACCAAAAAATCCTGTAAGAGCTCTTTCCACTCTCCGGAGTCTTAATAAGTATTGCTTGTTAAAGAAATAAATATGAACAAAAAATCAGTAAAAATATCTGCCTGAAAACAAGGAGCATTTTTTCATTGCTGTTTTTTTTTGCTGCACTTCTGTGTGTGTGGTAACATCAGAATACAGACATTAAATACCAGGTAGTAGTCCAACAGCATTCTTCTTTGCAGGCTTTCCTGAAGGAAGATTCTTTTACGAAGCTTAAATTGGCTTGGATACCTGCTGACTTGGTTTATTCCCCCCCTCTCATTCTTTCAAGCTTCTACTCTTCTACTCCCTAAAAGCCATTTTTCTGCCTTCCAGTCAGTGCATTGGACCCTGTTGCTTCCCTTTTTCTCACCAGTATTTCCTCATCTTTCGATTTTCTCTTATACAGTTCCTCATTCCACGTATTTTTTCTAACATCACTGTGCCTTCATCATCTCCATCAGTGTCTCTATCCTCCAGCCTCTGCATATTCTCTCTCCACCTGGATGCTCCTTTTGAATGATCTGTTCTTTGCCCTTCTGCAGGTCTTTCTTCCCCCTTTTTACCTAAATTGCTGAATATGACCCTGCTTTAAGATAATCAGAAATAATAGGAGATGTTTTGGTTACCTAGCTCTCCCTGTTTAGAGTATAAAAAATAGTGGTGATTTTTGGCTCAAGTAGTCTATTGTCACTCAGTGACTGGCAAAACTTGAAAAACTCCAGTATCTTCTTTTTGTCTGGACACCATGGAAAAATATCCCCACAAAAGATCACGAAACTTTCATTAATATTTTGCTTGGCCTCTTGACAGAAGCTGCACGTGCTGTGGCATGGAGAACTGAGAACCTAACTGAAATCAATCCTCTGTTTATGCTTACCAGCAATCCTGTGGGGAGACACACCTTCCTTTCTTACCCCCTTTCTGAGCTCTTCTGCCCCAGTGTTGCCATGGCCCCGTCTGTGGTCAGTTCTCAGGTAGTTTGAGTGACAAGAAAATGAGAGCTGACTCATAAAAGAGGAGCATGTTTAATCCACAATTTTGTATGAACTGTTTGGAGTAGTCATAAATGTCCCATTTAATGGAAGTGCTGGAATTTTTCTTTTTGGCAGGGTACACCACATATTTCTGCTTCAACAGAGATTGCAATAGAAGCCCACAACAATACAGGATGAAGACTTGCAAAAATGGTTCTTCATGTAATTTATGGCATTTTCTAGAATGCTTTTCTGTTTTTTCTCCCTTAGAGACATGTGAAGAAACTGACTAATGATTCAGACACAGAGATGTGAAATATTGCATCAATAAGATTTTTTCATACTTTTTTTTCCTAAACCAAAAAGCATTATCTATAAAATATGAGGCAAAGTTACCCAACTGAAAACATTTCCTTGGAAGTAACTCAGAGCACTGATAATTGTGATTAATGTGATCTGCAAACTCCGGTTGACAAGCTCTTGACACAGAATCAAACAAACAAGAAATGTGTTGGCCTTTCACTAAGCTTCCATCATCCAGATATTTGTAACTCCACATGCAGAAAGTGTAAATACTTCTGGCTGTAGAGTAGCAATAATAATAATCTTAGCATTTTAAGCTATTTTCATAATGCTCCATTTATTCAAATTAATTTTATGTAAATTATTTTGCAATTTTTGTATTTCTTTTCACTTTTTTTAACAAAAGACAACAGTGTGTGTCCTAATGTAAGACTAATTGCATTCCTTGCCATTTCCTTTGGAATTTTTTGTTCAAGTATTACAACTTCCCCATTTTTCAGGTAGTGTCATTTTTTTCTTCATCTGTTTTGGCACATTTCAGACCTAAGTGTTTTAATAAGTGTCCCTGACTGTACATGTATTTTGGACATCTGTCTTCCATTCTCTTATGTTTGTGCAGAGGTAAATAATTAATTTCCCTTTTGTTGTAAATGTTCTATTTTCCTTAAATAATATTTTCAGTCTGTGGAAGAACAGGAGTGCTGTTTCTCTTGAGAATACTTTCTGTGCAATGAACAGTGGTATCCCTGAGAGATGCTGTGCAGAGTTCTTTTCAACTAATATCTTTTCATTTATGACCAGCTTTCTGAGCAAACACCTGCTAGAAAGTGCTTGGAGGAAATTCCATGGAGATTTTGGATTTTGCTTATTGAAATCCTGCTGTTACTACCTTTTTGGGCACTCTCTTTTAAATGAGAAATATGATTCCTTACTGAAACTTACAGTCTTCTTTCCTCTCTCCTGCTCCCTTCTGGTTACATGAGTAAGTTTTTTTCAAAATACTGTAAGTCTGTCTCCTTGGGTTGTTCAGCACAACCCTGAGCCTGATCTGCTCTTCTAAGAAGAGGTGCTTTAAAATTGAGAATCCTCAGCTCTTGAGTGGATTTGGCCTCCAGGGCTAACACATGTTCATCTCCCTTGCACTCCTCCTTTTGCCCTGGAGTAAAAACCTGATGAACATTGCCTTTGCACCCAAATCCTTTTTACCTCTAGAGGCCAGACAGTCCCCATTTTGGTTGAAAGATTTGGGAACCTTGAAGGCAAAGGTGTTATTACAGAGCCTAAATGGAAGGATGGTGATATTAAATACAGTTCTTTCAGACACTGAGTTGACTTTCTGTAGTTCAGTGAGCCAAGGAATCTAGGGCAAGGTTATTTTCTTACATACTTAAGGAAAAGCCTTGAAATAGGAGAGTCTTCATGTGGCTTTTAGGGAACACATCACGTTTTCCTCTCAGAATATGGTGGAAATCTATAACTCAAGTGCCTGTGATGAGAGGCAGCAATGATAATACCAGGTAAGAGAAACAGAACATTCTGTCTCTTAGAGAACTCAGAAAAATGGGAAATGTGAAGTGCATTGATTCTTTGAAAAAGTACAAGTAGCATCTGTTCAGATGCATTTTTTTGTTATTCTCAGCCACTCCATGTTTTTATTGCTGATTTTGTCAAAAAACCCAAACAAGTCTTGGGTCAAAGGGGATTTGTAATGAGATATATACAGGTAGATTGTCCAAGATTTATCATACTGCAATCAAGTATTGAATGTCCTTTGTTGGTTTCAATGGAACATCCATGCATATGCATCGTTTTAGTAAATCCCAAGAAAAAGGAAACTAAAAAATAAAATTATTATTTTAATATGAAGTAAAAAATGAGGTCTTGAAAAATATGTTTGAGTTATTTAGGATAGGAGTCCAAGCAATGATGCTAAGACCCCTCTGTTATTTCCAACAGGGTTACTTTCAGAGGACGTAGTAGTATAGACCTTTTGATAGGGTGGGGGCATTCCAGCAGGACTGATGCCTGGGTATTCTAGGTGCTCTGTCCATCAGGAAATCTTTCTCCTAAGATGCACCCAGCAGTTCCACTTTGGAATTTCATTGTGATGTACCATAGAAACCCCCATTTCTGCCTCTTCATTTCTGGGAGAATGGCCTTCACTTCTGGTCCTCTGGGCAGTGGCTGTCAGGCCACTGTCCAAGGCCATCTGGCACCTCCCCTCCAGTCAGCCATTTGCAGCAGTATGGTGCCTCAGAACGTGTTCCCAGGGCAAACTCTTCCCTTGGCTTTCATAGTGATGAAAAAGTAACTGGAAAACTACTGGAGTAGTCAGTGCTGACTTTTTACATGGATGGACTCTGGATTTCTCTAGGTCTTGGGATTTTATTAATTTCCACCAAAGTGGCTCTGTGCTACACTAAAGCTGTTCATTTAACAGCATGCAGCAATGTAGATCAATTTGCATGGTCAGTTGACATTAGCAAGGAAGAACTAGGAGGCAGTCAGAAACAGTGGAAATACTTTTTTGTCTTTCTTACTGTAGTTACATATTATGTTGGATATGGACACATCTTTCTAGATCAATGGAGAGAGATGATTTTGAGTAACTTGTGCCTTTTGTTTCTGGGCTGTTTTCAGTTCAGGGGAAAATACTGAGGATTGTGCATCACTTGGAAGTTGTTTTCTGTATGTACCTATATTCACTTTCCTAATTAGCTGATACCATAAGACTTGTGCTGGAAACTTCAAAGACCCCAAGTTACTTCTTATACTCAGGGAAAAGAAATTACTTAAACTAAATGGTGTAAAATCTCTGCAAAATGTAACAGTTAATCCTTGTTTTCCAGGAGTACATGCCTTTTAATGTGGATGTGGAGTTTCAGCCATAGCTCTACATGCATGTGCCCAGAGTTGAGGAGTAGAGCTAATCCAACTGTTTCTCTTAATCTTTTAACCCTAACCTGATTCAGCATGTTTGTTATTGATTCAGAGACTGAAATTTTTGATATATGTATATTGTAATGCTTATTATTAAAGGATACTATAATTGACTGTAGAAACAGAAGTATTATGTTGTTGTTGTAATGCATCTAGTTCGGATTCACTCTGGACCTTTGCCCAGAGTGAAGGAACTTCAGATCCAGGATTTTGTTCAGTTCCCTTTCCCTTTGCCTTTTTTCCCCCCTTCCCCAAGTGGTGTAGTATGTAAGTATTTGTTGTTAAAAGGAAAGAAAAACCAATTGACAGCAATGGGAGGCTGAAGACTTGAAAGAACTGTATGGGGAATGATGGGTCAGCTCAGAAAGCTGTTCTCAGGAGCAAAATTAAATGTGCAGTTCAGTAGTTGAGCCACACTGTGTCACCATTGGACTTCACTTCCTTCCACTGTATCTTTCCCATTATAGGTGAAGATATTTACAAAGCCAGAGAAGAGGGGTCTGAAATGTGGGGGGCAGTTGAAGTGCAAGAAGATGAAGATACTCTTGTGGAAGTTCCACTGGACCAGGTAGTGATCAAGCTTTAAATAAGTGGTTTTGCCTTTTTTTTTTTTTTTTTCCCAGGATTACAGATTGTGTGTTGTTTCTCTTCCCTCAATTTCTTTCAAGTGTACAACATAATTCTGTGGGGATGACTGTAAGCTCAACAATACTGCTTCTTTTATGGCAGCTTTAGCAAATCTCCCTTTCTGTGTTAATATGTCAAATGTTAGTTACCTTTTCATCAGCTTCAGAACTGCTCTGAGAGCTCTTTACAGAGCCTTAGAGGATCAAGACTCCCTACTGTTACATCCTCCCAAATAAGTTCACCTGAATTGCAGTCTCTTTATACTGGTAGAGCAGTATTCCTGCAGTCCTGGACCACAACAGGTGCAGATTTGTCTGATTTTTTAAAGCTGACAGCACTTTGTTGGAGCAACATGGTGCTTCATTGGCCAATTTTTTAATCCTAAGATTTATGTGCAATAAATAGGTCTTGATAACTAAATATAAGATTATATCTCCCTTTTTGTACTTTGATTTGCACTCCTGTGGACTGAAATAATACAAGGACTAGGTAAATTGAACCTAACAGTAACAGCAGTTACTGTCCTTTATCTTGCTTTCAGTGTAGACTTCTCTATTTGTAGGAGGAATTGGAAGAAGTGTGGTAAGTATGGGGAGGAAAATATCCTTAATGAGGGCGGAGACTGGATTTGTGGGCTAAAAGGTAGGTGAAAAACCAGTTGGCTAATTTGGTGAGATTTAAAAGGTCAACTGGTTGGGATTTAACTGGCACCTATTTACAGATTGTGGTCCTCATGGTTTGATACTGGATCTGAGACATTATAATATGTTCATGGGTCACACAGATGATGGCATGGGACACGGCCATATTCAGGCCCAGCTGTCATTATCAGGTGAATGCAGGGCTGTCTTTCAGAGCAATCTCAACAGCTTGAGGGAATAGAATGACTTGAGCCTCATGAAGTTCCACAAGAAAGAGAGGTACAAAGTTGGACACCTGTAGTGCAGTTAACTCTCAGTGCAGTCTGGAGACAGGTGGGTTTGAAAGGAGCTGCAGAAAGGCCGTGCAGCTCCTGTGGTTGGCAAGCTGAGTTGGTGGTGCTCCCTGTGTGGATGAGGTGGACTGTGCAGGCTGGATAATCAGTGACCTTGATGAAAGATAATCATCAAGGTCACTGATTATCTTTCTTGACTTGGCAACCTCAGAGATGCCAAGTCAAGAAAGATAATCAGTGACCTTGATGTGCACAGCCAGCACATCAAAATCACTGATTATCTTTCTTGACTCGCCATCTCTGAAGTCGCATCTCAACTATTTGTCCAGCTTTGAGTCTTTCTCATCAGAAGAGAGATATTTAGAAGATATTTTGAAGAGAATATAAATAGGAGAAAGTTCAGCACAGTGACAAACAAAAAAGTTATGGGCTAGAACTTATAACAGTATTTAATTGCTTACTAAACAGTGCTTACTATTTAGTTAGCTGATTTTTTTTCAGTTTATTTGTATTATGTAAAAATACTAGACATGTATACCTGTAGCTTGTGTTCTGCTTTTTAACACAATACCTGAAGGGAAATATGACCTTATTCGCCACTTTGAAGACTGACACCTTACCATCTAAAAAAAATACAGATTTTATCTTAGGCTCCTGTTGCTAAGAAGGATCATTCTCATTATTTATTCACTTAAATGGGAAGGAATGTTACTCAGCTATTTTATAGGCATTGTTCTTGAAAACCCACGAATCAGGTGATAGAGGCAACAAGAACAAGACTGTCTTGGTCCCTGATAGAAAGAATGCTACAGCTGTGTCTTCTCACAGCACATACCTGCCCCAGCCTCAGAGTCTTATATGATGAACACCATAGGGCTCATCAGCCCTGTTAATTGTGGTTGTCCTGGTGAGGTGTAGTGATAATTAGGATGTGTTGTGTTATATTGATAGCAGTGACATTGGGGAAGAACATGCCAGCTGTTGTCTTAATCTTTGTTTCTTATGACATCCTGAAGCACATCCTACTCTGGTCTTGACAGTGTAATAATCAAATTCAGAAATTATTAGCCTGTTTATTGGCCTCTGGAGGTGTGTAAAGAATTCCTCTGGGTAGTGTAGAACATTTGGTTGTGTAAATTGGGTTGTCAGGCCTTAGTTTTTAGGCTGTCTTCATATGAAATCCAACCCTGGAACCAGCTGCCCTACTTCTCCACAGAGATCCTACAGCACAGGCAGTAGCTCTGTGTGTCTCCCCAGTTTTCCTCTGCCTGCGGATGGTGACCACCCCTAGGGAGGGGGAAAATGCTCTACTACTCTGGCAGTGGAACTGTTCACATAGCTGCCAGTGAGCATCAGATATGCTGGCAAGCTTGCAATGCTAGGAACTTGCTGAATACCTCTAAGCTCATGTATCAAGGTCCATTCATCATGTTCAGATGGAAATATTTTTCTACCAACAGATTTTGCTATCTGGACAAGGAACTGCAAGCAGTTGTATTTGATGGGGAAAAATATTAAAAAATCAGGCATGCACACTACGAATAATCTGATTTTCATGTTTCCATAAAAGCCAAGCAAAGCACCAAAATTTATTGCAAAACAAGCCATGGTTTATATATAATGTTAAAACTTGATGTATAGTTTCCTTGGTAATCTCACAAGAAGCCATGTCCTTCTGAGTATCATGGAGTACTTTTTATTCCCAGATAACTAAGGTCACTCTAACCTTAGAAGCATTTAGCATTTTGCATGTTCAGGTTCATATTAATGACCATTTAAAATTGTTTTAAATTCTGTCATGTAAAGCTTTTTAGCTTTTTCTTATCTGCACTGCAGTGTCTGTTATTGCTATAAATATGGGAAAGGACAGCCAGCCAGGGCTTGACTATCTTGCATAATGCATAAATATTTACATGCCAGCTTTCACTAGAATGCTGACACTTCTGATAGGCTATCATTTCCATCAGCCACATAAATGAGGTGGTGAAGACAGAGCTTAATTTTTTTTTCTTTTTATGCACCTTCTCTGTCTTGCTGTTTGAAATACACAGTTGAACAAATGCCAGATTAGCCATTAACTAAACCTAGTGTTATACTGGCTAGACTCTCACTTATGTCCTGTTCAGTAAAATGCTGTCTGCCAGCTGAAAACACATTAAAAGAACAGGGTTTGCTTTACTCCAGACTAGCTGACAGTTGTAATTGAACATCAAGGAAGAAAAAATGAATATTTTGCCTCAAACCAAACCAGATTTTTCTGTTCTATATTCTTTACCAAGACTTCAGCTCCCAAATACAAAATGATTAGTTTCTTCTTTTGACATGCAGGCTTACTCCAAGTTGGTTGTTTGCATCACTGTGTCAACATTCATGGGGACTGATGACAGACTATGAAATCAGTTGTGCAAATAGCAAGGGAACAAGGTGGTTCTTGACAGGGAGGCAGCAAAACAATAGTAGTTTCTTATTGGAGATAGTAATTAAGTGTGTTACTTTGAATTTGCTGGTAATAATGCAAATATATTCAAAGTATTGAATTCAGAGAAAAATTTCTAACTTTTAAAGCTTTCAGAAAAACCTACTCTTTTTCTTTCATTCTCTATAAGTTCTAAAATACAAAAGCAGCAGTTTCTAGTGATAATACTGAAATAACACTGCAAGTTTGCACTTGCAGTGCAAAACAGCTTATCCATTTCCATAAGCATGGTTGTTCTCCCATGCTGAGCCCTTGGGAGTTGGAGTAAGCAGGAGAGTTATGAGACCTGAAGTTATCCAGTGCACGACCCCATGAGGAATGCAGGCAAGTTGTTGTGCCAGCCTGCTTTGCTGTGGGGCATATGATACTGGCTATTAAGATGAGATGTAGAAAGAAACTCCATTTGGGGTTTGGTTTGTTCTTTGGGTTATTTTCCCCCTCCAGATTCTTCATCCCCATCTGCTTATCTCCTTCTGTGTTTATTTGTAAAAATTATTTGGTGATAAATTTATCTAACAGGCAATGGTTTGGAGTTTTTCTGTAGATGTTCACATTCTTGGTCCTTTCATTTTCCATTTGCTTTCCAATTTTACAAACATGTCCACTGATTAATACAGTGCTCCACTCATTATTTCCCATTTCCTGGGCTTTGATATGATGTGAGATTGTGTATCTCTCCTAGGTGAGCTGAAGCTGGAGTATATCATCAGTAGCAGAAAATTTTCATCTTTCACTTGCAGTTTTCATTATGGAGTACACATTTTGCTTTAGAGACCCAAGATTCACCTCAGTGAGCAGAATAAAATGTTTATCTTCCCCGTGGCCGAAGGCAAAATGTTAAAGTTTATGTTGATTCAACATTACAACAGGCTGACTGCTTGAAGAGACATTCTTTGATTAAAAAGGCTACAACTTTTCACGAGGAAACATTTTGCACTACATCAGTAAGGATTTCAAAATGGCATTTGGAAAGAACGCATGCAGAACTTCTTATGGTCAAATTTCACTACAAATGATGCAGCTGTAATTTAAGCCTTATGAATTTTGAGTGCTGACAAGCCAGCAGATAATATTTTCTGCTGCATGTTCTTCTTTCAGCTCCACTGATTTACACTTAATGTTGTTATTGTTTGTCTGTGTGAGATAGGGAAACTTACTCTGATTGGTTCCTTGCAGTTCAGAATGAGAAGGGAGATCTTTCCTCGGTTTCTGTGGTGCCTTGAGAAGGCTGACCTAGAATAGAGGCTAAACAGAGTTAAAGAATAAAGTAGGAATTTATTAAAAGGCCTTGATGGATACACCTTGGGCAGTACAAGAGCACCTTCTCAAGGCATCATCTGCATTGGGTAACTGTGACTAATGAAGTTGTAATAGCAATGCCTGACCTTGTCCTTAGAGGCCTGTGTGGCCAACATTTGAAGGGCTTTCACTTCTTCTGAGTGAAGCCTGGGAGTGTAAATCTCTTGTAAAACTAGTTCTGATACCACTTTGAAAAAAGTTTCCTCTGTGTAACCCTGTTTTCAAAAATTTC